GTGTACAATATCGATCCAGAGACGAAGCAACAATCGGCTCAGTGGACTGCAGTTGGTGGGGTGCTGCCTCGGAAATTCCGACGCGAGCGCATTGTAGCAAAGCAGATGGTGGCTGTGTTCATGGCCAAAACTCGGCCAGGACAACCGGGTAGTAACATGCCTACACAGCCTAGAACACCTTCAGATTTCTTTTTGTTCACATGTTATAGCACATTTACCAGTTCTCTGTAATTGGTTACTTGTTGAAATTTAAAAAAAATGTGGCTACTGTACCGCTCGTACAGCAAAGTACAGTCACCGGAGGCTGGTATGCCACTGACTGTCTGCCAAAAGTACTTGAAGCTGTTGCCAGACTTCGTCCAAAGACTGGAGCACAAGGGACCCATAAAAACGCACTTGCACACAGGTACCATGTCATCGGTGATTTTTTGTATAGAAAACGCATCCAGGAGGTTGGTCACTTACCTCGCAGTGTAAATCTGACTCCGTGTGTGTGCTCCCAAATGTCGGGTGCATGGTGCGTGGAATCCGGTAGGAATCACCAGCAGCTAGCGTGGAGTCCTTTATTCAACTGGTCGACGGGTTACTCGCTTCGCCATGGTCGAGCTGTTTCATCAAATGATTCGAGCACATAAAGCTTTCCATGAATGCTGGTGGAGAATAAATCGAGAAAATGTGATACTTATTTTTGTGTATGAAATTACACTTTTTGTGCATTCGGAAACGTTTTGCTCAGCCCTCGTATAGATAGAACTGTCTAGGCAATGGGCATTTGGTCTTGTGGGTTTTTGAATGTGCCACCCTACCGTGTACGGTTAGTCTAACGAAATGTATAGATTATATAAAATTCTAATCTGTGCTATTCGTAGACATAATTGACTGAACTGCTGGTATTGTCCATTTTCGGTGTTTTTCTTTTGCTCTCGTGAACTTGCCTATTTTTTAATAATCCTGTGATGATTCATTGTCAACTTGGACGTTAGATGATCGTCAAAACCGGACCTAATCTTCAAGTTACTCGTATCCAGTTCATCGATGCACTCCCAAAGTGTATAAATCTATTACGTTAAACATTATATATATATATATATATATATATATCGCTGTTTATCGGGGTCTTTATCCCGTAACCGGGTTGGTGAATCACTGGCAGTTCACCAATGGGAGTTGGCTAAAATCCCTGATTCCAAACCAACCAAGGAGAGGGGTATGAACCTCACCCACGCACACATTCCCTGTTATGGCTGTGGTTACCGGCTCGATTGGCTATGGGCGGCGTTTAATCCCGTCCAAAGTCCATGGGATCCGTTGAACTGGACATCGGCCCCCTGTGAACTGCGAACTAAGAGCTCCGTCCACGTCTTGCAGGTCTGGTTTTCTAGCCAGAGGCTTCGCGTGGGGACCCCAAGGTTACGCCCCTTCCTCGGTCAGGGCAACCGAGAAAAAGCATATCCACACAACCTATGCACACATTCTGTAATTATTTTTTCCTTATATTTTGCCAGTATTATTTAATTGGTTACGTGTTGAAATAAATAAATCGTCAGATTTTCATCATATGTTGGTTTCGATCCCTAACTTGATATTTCGTAGTTCGAATCTTGACTGGGACATGAACTGCCGTCCTAATCGAACCTCTTTTATATCCATGAGTAATGATATCATATTTCCCTTTTTTGTGAGAAACGGGCCTTTTCGAATACGGTTTACTGTCCCCATCGTACCCTTCCATTCCGGTGAATTTCAACTTCTTTTGTGCTCTTGGATTGTTGGACGTTTACGAAATGATTTTTTCAGTTGTGGCTGCTAAATTGTGTTAATTTTCAGACTGAAGGAGACAGTGCTATGTGGTGTGCGACAACAGTTCGTCCGCTTCTCAGTGGAAGTGGTGCAGTAGTGATCTAGTCGCTGTCACCTGAGTGCTTTGGACCCTACTGTCCGAGGTTCGAGCCCTGTCATCGCCACTGAACTTTGGTGGTAGGCAGCACTGCTATCTCCCGGTTCTATACCAGTCTTGAGCTAGCCGGGTCTTATGTGGTTCACCACTCCAAGCCCCGCGGGGGTTGGGTTGCCGGTTACCATTAATGAACAGCAGGTCTTCGTGACCATGGGGTCCACCCCGACTGCTGTTCATCACACACTGGTGTATAATAATAAAAAAACTAAGAATTTGAATACAAATGTGAACTGCAGAGTGAAAATAGATCGTGGGCTCATGGCACACTCATATCCAGGGGTTCGAAAATTAACCAGTATGTAGTAATTTCGCATTCACTGTGTGCAGGACATGTTTTCCTATTTGATTACCGAATGTTTATTGCCAGCTATTGAGTTCCCTTTTTTGACTTAAAACTCTTGTCGTCCGTGCGGGGTAATGTTCCGTCGTCCCGATCCAGGATTCCTTGCATATTGTCCAATCATTTGCATGCAAAACCATTCAAATATGAGGCCGAACTCCTGTCATTTTTTACTCATCTCATTCTTTGGAAAATAAGTAACTTTTCTAGTAAATCCAAAGTGCCCCCCCCGGAACTCGTGTGCGTGTTTTCTGTC